ACCTAATGCCAGGGGCTTAAGTGGAGAGCAAATGTTTTGAGAATGACGTGGGCAATGAATGTACAAATGTGCTTTACACAATTGATGTATGTATGGATTGTGGTAAGAGTTGTATGAGCCCCTAATAAAATGATTTAAAAAAAAAGAAAATGAGTTGGTTTATGGGAAAAATCTTTTTTTAATTCCCATTTACTAAAATGGACACTAACAAAGTTATTTGATAATTACACAATACTGTAGGCCTTAGGGCTCTTATGGTTTCACATGTCAGAATAACAACTCAAGCTAGTTATGACTAAGGCAGTTACCGATATACTCAAGCTTCACTTGATCCAGCTAAACTGGGAATACTTCTTGCTTAGCTAAGGAGAGGTACAAAGAGATGGTTAAAAAAATAGAAGGGGGTTGAAAAGAGTAATGTATTTAAGATCAAAAGAAACACTTCACAAATGCTTACGACCTTGGTTTGAAAGTATTATTATGTTTGCCTTGATGGCTAGTATTGGTTGTATGGTACATAATTGAAGTTAGTGCTTATTATGTTTTTAATATTACTTTACTATATACACACTGTATTACATGTCACAATGCACTGCTCCAAGGCAGGAGCTGCATTGCATGGAACATAGTAGCCCACTCCGTAGAGTGCAGGTGTCAAGGTGCCACGAAAGAACCACTCTCACAAAGGCATTGGATAGAATCACCCAGAGGAGAGATAAAGTCAGTTTCCCTGAGTTGTCAGTCTTTCATGGACAGTGGGTCTCACTTTGCAGCCAATGCAGGGAGACGGTTTACATGCTCCCCTCCTAATGCTGCTCTAGAGGGACTTCATTCTGCCCTTGCCAGGAACAATTATATAAATGAGGTTGTCCATGTGCTGAATTATGCACATGCTTAAATAAGCAGTGCTTGGGAATGTTGACGTGTGCTCATGGAACGAGAGCAGGGATATGTTGATCGTTCTTTGGCTTCACGGAGGTTGACACACCAGCAAAGGGAGGCGGTCTACACGCTCATCCCTTCCAAGAAGCCGCAGACTGACACTTGTGGCACTACGCGTGATCTCCTTTGTTGCTCACAGGGAAAGGTGGCAGATGGCACTCCAAGTTCCCCCTTAGTCATTCATTCTTCTTGACGACGGTCCCATGAGACGGGTGTTGCGTTTGCTCCACTTTCCAGGAACATGGGGTGCAGCGGGGTGAAGTCCCTTTCCGTGCCCATCATTTTCTAGCCCTGCATTCAGTTTAGTTTGTTGCGGGGTCAGCTTTCTTAACCATCGTGTTGACCTCGTAGCCCTGGCTATAGCCAGACAGGATCGGAGCTCTGAGCAGAACAAGGGAGTGAAAACTATTTGGTTCCTTGTCTCTTTTGCAGAGCAAATTTCAACCTGTTACACATTTTTATAAAATCTCTCTCTTAAATGTCAGGTTTAGCCTTTACTTACACTTCAGCAGACCAGTAGACTTGAATGCTTCAGAACAGGGTGCTGTTGGATGCTGAAAATACCTGAGAAGCTTCATTCCTGCTCAGGTCATTATTCATGTGGGTGATGGTGACTGAAAAGGCCAAGAGGAAAGAATAGCAGTGAGAGCAACATGCACAAGGACAGTTAGGATGACAGTGTCACCTCGTTCATCAGTTTTACAATAGTGTTGGCCTCTGTCAACATTTCCTACAGGAAAAATCATAAGGCAGCAAAAACAAAGAACCACAAATGAACAAAACTAGATACAGGTTAAGACTTCCTTGACGACTTGTGGAAACTGTATGTTTTCTCTTCCAAAGACAGTTTCTCGGTCAGATGTTCTCTAGGGAATTCGGCCTACAATTGTTCCTTTTTCACATCTGCTGCTCTAATTTTCTCCACCTTGCCTGGAGTGGAACATCTCTTAAATCCTTAGTGTCTTTCGCATTTTCAACACCAATTCACAGAAATAGCCTCAGAAATATCAGCAGGAAATTTTGTTTTGTGTTAGGCTTTTTCATTAGCTGAGAAATGGCAGAAGAGGTTTTACTATTCCATTTTGAGCTTGTGCTAGCAAATGCAAATGGATGAAATTCTATTATGTTTAGCATTGAACGACTGCCTGTTCCTTTTCATTTTTTCCAGCAGATTATTCAGATTCTATTAAGGCCTCCTGTTCATTGGTTTCTTTCCCAATATGGTGTTGAGGTGGTGTAATGCATCCTTATCATTGACTTGCATGTGTGACATGACTTATATGTTAAAGCCCAGTGCAATTTGGTCTTTTAGTATATCCTTTTGTCACAATACTCACTGTCCTAAATAAAAATCTGTCTAAGCAGATAATGCCCTTCAGAGAATTTTATCATACTAAAGTCTCCTTTTATATACCTACACATGCTCTTCCATTTTCATTTTATTAGCACTGTTAGCCCTTTAAGTTATTTTTTCTACAATGTAATAAAATTACATTATGAAGAGAAAAGCCTTGTTGAATTTTCCCACAGTGAAATTATGATATTTCGTAAATTTGGTTTAAGCTCACACTCTGATAGACACCTGGTCTGCAGATTACTAGGATTTTTGGAGGGGTGAGCAAAGAATATTACAAAAAACCCACCAGTCCAATATATGTATTAGGGAATTAATATTTTCCTGTCAAAAAGCCTCTTTAGAGAGTTTTATATGGCACAGAACCAATCACATGTTGAAAACTTGGTTTGGGGGATCATGATTCTCTATATTTCATGGAGCTACCACTAAGAGGGTGAGGTTCTGTCCAACATGAGATGTTCGCTAGCTGTTCCTCAAAGCTGTGTTCCAGAACACTTCCCATTGAGCTGTCTACTGCTCTGCCTTTGATAGTATGAGCCTGTCTGCATCCATCATAGACAACTTAACCTCACTTCCTAAGATCATGTTTAGTAGAGGCCAGTTGGGTTTCCATTTGGAATTATTTAAAGTCAGCTCTCTGAAACATTATTTGGCAGTTTTTCGTACTTCTTTAAAATTTTAATTATAACCCATCAAGTCTTAAGCAATTACTTGTGGGTTAGACTCTTGATGAATGTCATAGCAGGGTGTTTTAATTTAATGAATCCAGAATAACATCTGTTTCTAATATTTTAAAAGCCAATTTATATGGAAATTCATTTAATACAGAGTCAGTACACGGAGACTTGTAAAAGTCTAAATCAAAACTGAAAATCCAACCCCTGTGATATAGTAGGTTTTCTGTTAACCAAGGATTCCACTTCTGACTGGGTTCAGCTGCCACTTGCAGACACCCCAAATGTCCCAGTTGAAACAGGAGAGCAATTTATTTCTCATACTCACCAGCCAGGTAGCCTTGAGTAGCAGACTACATGAAGCCACAACCGGCGGGCTTGGTAGCTCACAGTGGCAGGATCTCAGTTTCTTTCCACCCTGCTGCTCTGTTTATTTCCGGGGACACCGAGTGGGCCAAGATGGCTGTTGGAACTTGAACTGTTATATTTGTGGTCCACCCGACAGGAAGGAGGTGTGGTGGTGGAGGAAGAGAAGGCAAAGATTTTTGATTTTCCTTTTGAGGGTACTTCCTGGAAATATTGTATGTACAGCACTCTGTTTATGTCCCACTGGCCAGAGATTAATTATGACCATATTAAATAGCAAAGGAAATAATTCATTGTCTGAAGATGCTATGTGCCTGGCTGATGATGAGAGTCAGATTAGTATGGAAAAGAGGAGAAAACATACTGAGGAGCAGCTAACTTTCCTTGACACATTGAACATTTTGTAGGGTCCGATTTTAGCAGATGTCTGCTTTTTCACTGAGCACACAGAGCAGTCACTGGCTTTCATTAGCAGGAGGTGATGAGAACCATTCTTCCTGGTCTACTCCTCATTTGATAGTTCACCGGTAGAATTCTTGCCTTCCATCTGGCTCCACCACCTGTATGTCAGTGGAGGTTTCTGTGCTTCTATGATGCCGCACAGCTTATAGCAGCAGAGCTTTCAGATTAAGAGGAATGAGGAAGAAAGGCCTGGTGATCTACTCTGAAAACCAACTTATGAAAACCCACGAATCACGGTGGATTGATTTGCAAGCAATCACGGGAGGGACGTAAGACCAACCAGGCAGTGTTTCATTCCTCCGTGCATGGGATTGTCATGAGCTGGGGACCAACTCAACAGGCCTGACAACAGTAGTCTTGCTCCTTGAAGTGTGTCTGCTGAAATGTGGCCCAAGGACCAGTTGCATCTGCCTCACCTGGGAACTTGTTACAAATGTACTGTCTCTGAATTTACTGAATCAGAAGCTACCTTAACAAGACCTCCCAGGTGATTTGCATGTATGACAAACACTGATATTCTCTCTCTAGTTGACTTTCACTAGGGAGTTACCCTCACACTCTAAACTTACCTGAGACTGTGCTCCTTGACAAATCCAGATTCTCGGGTCACAGAGTCATGGGGCCCTAGCATGTGCACTATTGTGAGTCCTTGACGTGATTCTCATGAGCAGTTGTGAGACATTTGATGCGTGGTGATTAAAGTGCTTGGCTGCTACCAAAAGGTTGGTCTCTGGAGCTTTGCTGCTCTGTGGTAGGGAAATACGTCTATCCACTTCCATAAGGAGTCACTGCCTTAGAGACCAGGGGGCTGCTTTACTGCGCCCTACAGTGTTGCCCTGAGTTAGGATTGCTCAGAAGCAATGTGTTGGTTATTGAGACTTATACCTCTGGTGGAAACACTGCGTTCATCCTTAAAAGGCATTTGCACTCTAATGGAGAAGAAAGCTCTGAAAGGAAAGACACCGATCTCTCATTATTGTAGTGTCTATAAGTATTCATGGGGGACTTTCGGGGAGGACATCCTGAATTCAGCCTATGTGGGAAACCTTCAGTAACGCAGTCCTGTTTGCAGAACCTTTGCATACCTGAGAGCCATATCTCAATGCACGTGACTCAGTTTCTGAAGAAGGCGTTATCTGAGCAGTGTCGGATTTTTTTGGTTGTATCTTACACATCTTCTTTAACATTTTGTTTTGTAGCCGAGCTATCAAGACCAATCAGGACCTCCTGCCAGAGACGCCATGGACACACATTTTCTACAATGATTTCTGGGGGACGCTTCTGACCCACAGTGGCAGCCACAAATCCTACCGCCCACTTTGCACGCTTTCGTTTCGCCTGAACCATGCCATTGGAGGGCTGAATCCCTGGAGCTACCATCTCGTCAATGTCCTACTACATGCAGCAGTGACCGGTCTGTTCACCAGCTTCTCCAAGATACTCCTTGGGGATGGTTACTGGACCTTCATGGCTGGCTTGATGTTCGCCTCTCACCCCATTCACACGGAGGCGGTGGCTGGGATCGTGGGACGGGCTGATGTCGGCGCCAGCCTCTTCTTCCTCCTCTCCTTGCTCTGCTACATTAAACATTGTTCTACGAGAGGCTACTCCGCCAGGACTTGGTGCTGGTTCTTGGGGACTGGCCTGTGCGCGGGATGCAGCATGCTGTGGAAGGAACAAGGAGTGACTGTTCTGGCGGTGTCAGCAGTGTATGATGTCTTTGTCTTTCACCGGCTGAACATGAAGCAGATCTTACCTACCATTTACAAAGTAAGTGCTTGTTGGCCCTTGCGTTTTGAATTACCGGGTAATCATTGCTTGGCCCTTTTCCATTATTTCAGAAGCAAATTTATTCTTCTTGAAATCGAATTTAAAATGTTAGCTTTTTGATCTCCGGTGGCTTGGAAATGCCCCTTTTTGGCCTTTCTCCACTAAGCTGGGTTTCAATCACGGATGGGTTCGTTTGTCTGGTCTCTCAGCGTATTGTCATGATTTCCAAGGTGGCAGAGCAATACTTTTTCTCTGCAAAGCATGTGAACCTCGTGATTTTTCATGATGTCTTCTCCCCAAATTTCCTATAATCAAATAAATTGCCCATAATGTACATTTTCTAAAAAATAGATATTACAGCGGATGGTGGAGTTAGATGCTAAATTCTACAGTGAAGGAAATCCTCGGCCATTTGTTAATATGACTTTTCCGGAGTTGACTTTGGAAAACAGCTCTTGTGTGCAGTGCACTGGGAGCTCAAATTCTTGAACAGTGAATCATAGTCACCTTTTCCTTGTTGGAGTGCATAAGAATAGATGAGTCAAAACAGAAAGTGGTTATTTTAAGTTTTGCCTTGAGGCCAATTTAGACTTTTGCCTCAGGACTTAATATTTGTTCTTCCATGTCCCCGAGTGGTTTCAAGTGCAGTGTGCTTTGACATTCACAGGACCTGGTGGCATCCCCATACTCTTAAAGAGGGCTGAATGTTTTCCAAGGGAGCATTAAGCAGTGATTGGAGGAGGACAAGGGCATTTGAGAGAACAGCCTGCCTCTCCCCCTCCTCATCTTCACGCACTGGGAAGGCACTCAACCTTGCTGAGCTGGTTCGCTATAGAGACTGAAACTTGGCTGGGTTTGCAAACCTCAACCATGGTGCAGGCGCACTCCTGCCTTCCCTTTGGCCTCTTAAGCAAGGAATTATGGTTCTGGAAACTTGCCCTGAGAAAGCTGGCCCTTTTCTATGGTAGTGACTATTCCCCTCCCCCACAGCAATTTCCAATTTCACTTAAAATTGAATTGGGGAAAAATTAAAGTAAGGGAAAAAAATTGAGGGAGATAGGAGCTGAAACATTTATTAGAAAAATTGCTAATTTTTCCACCTAGTAAGCAGAGTAATCACTGCTGGGCTTCTGCTCTGTGGGGAAGCATTTTTCCTTTTCACTTAGAACTCGAGAATCGAGTGTGTAATGAAGTTCTTTTGTGACTTCAAATTAAACGCTGGGACTTTAAAAGAAAACTCTGAGGAGCTTGACACTTGAAAAAACATGATTTGAAAGTCAAACTCTTATTAAAATTTAATCATTCTTTCAAGAAGATTTAGAAAAAAATAATCTGTTTGTCGGCTTTTAAAATGGTATCGACAGTGGCATGTTTCTTGTGTTTACTGGATCTATGAATATAATAAGTCTAATTCTCATTTCTTACCGAAAGTTGTGAAGTAGCTTCTCTTTGACCATGCAGGATCTCCCTGTAATGGCTAATCGCTGTTTCAGGGTTTCTCATTGATAGCTATGGGATATCTTCGTGGTCATTCAGAATGCCGACTTCAGCCCGTTCATGAATTAGAAAATTGGGCTATGAATTCAGGACTATTTTTTAGAGGCATTTCTCAGAAATCTTCCCTTCTCTAAACATATTTTAAGGGTAGAATTATTGGCACAGTTTCTCACCATGTGTATGCCCCATACAGTATTGGGCATATACTTGAACGTTTTTTGTTTTTTTGAAATTAAAATGTAATGGAGTAGCTAGTATTTTTTCTGGGAACCTTGGTCTCCTCACTGTTGCTTAAGAAAATGAGAAGTGCCTGTGGTGATAGGACCCTTAGGAGGTGAGAGTATGGGGTCCCTCATGCTAGGGAAAGGGCATAGTACTATCGAGGCATCAGTGTTCTGAGAAGTTTCCAAATGGGGAGTGTTCAGGGTCTCTAGAAACCATCTCTTGCAAGGCTGGGCAGCAGCAAGGATAGCAGTGGGGACAGCAGACCCTTTATCTAGTAGTTAGTACTTCAGGTCAGCTCTTTTTCTGTCTCAGGTTTCAGGTTGGTGAGCTTCCCGAGAACACTGAAATAACAGTTTATAAATTTGTAAGGGATTACAGGGGTCATCTCTGCCAGTCCCCTTATTTCCAGCTGCGGTATAGAGAACCAACCAGATGAAGATCACACACAAAGGTGGTAGAATCACTAGGACTCGAGTTCATTTTTCAGACCGTCTGCTGCTTAGTGATCTTTTCACGACACTTAGATGTGAAGATGAACAAACATGTAAGGTCAGATCACTGCCCTGTAGAAAGAAAATGATCATGGAATTAAAGCTTATCTCACAGTGGCAGAGTAACATGGCCCTGGTTCAGTGATCTGTTTTCTAATCTGGATATGGAGACAGTGTTGCTCTTTTCTAGAGATGTTGTGAAGATTGTGTGGAATTGTGGACTGTGCAGTATGAACTGAAGTGGGCGGTGTTGGAAAGGCATCTTAGATATGTAGTTGAAGAGAAAGAAAAAATGCCCTTGGAAATTGTGATTCTTTATCTTAAGAAAGAGAAGGCCAAAATACTTTCCTAGTAGTCTTTAAATTCCTGGTGGCTTGAAAGCTTTTGAAATAAGGAATGGTTCTTATTGACTTAGAAGTCCCTGGGAGCAAATGGGTAAGTTCTTGGCTACTCACCAAAAGGTTGGTAGTTTGAACTCACCTACAAGTACCGTGGACGACAAGTCGGGCAATCTGCTTCTTAAAGATCACAGTGATGGCAAACCCTAGAGTACAGTTCTAATCAGAAACACACAGGGTCATCATGATTCAGAAATCACTCCACGGTAACTGGAAAAACACACACACACACACACACACACACACACACAACATTGACTCAAGTTGAAGCAGGCAACTTTAAGCAAACTTTAATTTAGAATTTCATGACGACGAGGCTTGTAAACACTGGCATAGATTACATATGGAAGTTATAGAAAAATTCCATATTGTGTCTTTAAAATATATAGATTTCTATGCCTGGGGTGAGTTAAAAGAGATTCTTTTTGAAGGAAGTGGATTAAAAGAGTTTGGAAAGTTCTTTTTGACCTTAAAAGACTAATCATCTTAAATATCTTACCAATTAACTCTGCATCATGGTTATCATGATTTGCCAGATGAAATAAACTTTCCTGCCCTATTGAAATATAACTTGTATATAAACAGAAAACTCCAGTGTACAGATGTTTAACCCTATTATGCAAATTAGAGAACCAGCCAAATACTCACCCCCTAAACATGGTGGTGGTCGCAAAGCTGGAGATGATTAGGAGCAGAGGGGTATTGCTCGCCCTTTCTACTCTTCTGTCAGCAGTGTTTTCACCAGAGCGTCACACTTAGCTTTTCTCTGCAGTGTGCGAATGGTGCTGGTTCTATAGCTCTTATTAAAGTCAGTTGCTGGCTCCTAGACTCAAATGTCTACCAGATCTAGGTAGAGGTGGGCCTGGAGAACGAGAGGACAGGTTCTCGCCAAAGGGAAGGCTTCTACTGTTTCTCCCCACCTTGACATTGCAGTAAGAAAAGGCTTAATAGAGTTTCTAAGATTTTTCTAGGAACACAGACATCTGGATGTATCTGTAAGATCTCCTGTTTTTCCATACTGGATTTTAAAGTTTTAAATAAAGAGACTAACCCTTTTGGTCCAGGCAGAAATCTCGAGATGACCAAATTTGGCTAGAATCTAAGTTGCCAGTGTTTTAAACTCCTGTCAAAAAGCTTGTGCAAATATTTGCAAGACTAAATTATATATGCGGACTTTGCCATTCTGTGAAACAGATGAACTTTATGGTGTGTCTTTGGTAGGGTATGCTAGACGTACTCAGGGTACCCAGTCAGTTATGAATGCACACTGGTTTCTAAGCATCTGGTGCCTAAATGCTCTTTAGGCATTTCATTTAATATTTAATGAACATAGTGTTTTCATTTGCCAGGCACTATCCAAGTGTGCCAAAATGCTAAAATTTTAAATCATTTAACAAATGCTTGTTTGAGAGAGGTGATAGGAACTTAAGAAATAAGAGGGTTGGATATTGATAAACTAGAATTTCAATAAATTATGAACATATTAGTCAGGAAATAAAAGGAACACGTTCACAAATACATATAAACAATAACAACAATAATCACCATTTAAACTCTTTTTGTCAGTAGTGGCAGAAGGGGGAGAGGGCCAAGGGCAGGGGAAGTGAAGAAAAAGAAGAAGAAAAAGTAGTAGTGGTAGCACTGATCCCTGTGCAGAGAGGCAGGGACAAGGTCACTGTAGTTTGTAATTAAAATGCACATTTTTTAAAAAAAACAAGCTAAATGTTCATAGATATGAATATGGCTTTATTAATTGTAATTGCCTCTTTCAAAGGAAAACTGAAACAAAGTCTTTAAGCACATCTTAGTTCTTAGCCTCAAGATTCGATGTAGTGTGTTTCCTGCATTCCAATCCGCACATAGAGGTGTGCCTGGCAGTTGTGGGTAGTTGGTGAATCACTGAATTCACATTTGTTTAACAGTTAAATCCTTAAAAAGTGTGCAGGAGAACCTAGTGAGATCCTGCACTCTCCACTCTAGGACAGGAGAATTTCCCTCCTAGATTGAGCGTGGAAGTTGGAATTTGAAGCCATGTCTGTTAGAAAAATGAGAAAAATCAATGTTCTTAACCTCTCACCAAATAATCATGACAGCATTGTAAGATTACTTTCATTTATTTAATTTTATGTGATCAAAACTAAGGTACAAAAACACAACCTCTTTTGAAATTCACTTAAACTAGTCTTGGAAATAAATACTAGACTTTTATCTTCCCACAAAACTTTTTACAAGCCTCCATGACCCAAGGTGCTACAGGGTAATAAAATCAGGAAAAGCAACGCTTTTCTTACTTATCCAAATCAGTCATTGATTGCCTACTGGCCATTTTCTATGTTTGTTTAACATCTGTTAACTGTTCAAATGTGGAAACATCTGTCCTCCCACCCCA